TTGATTATAATTTATAATTATAATTATATAACTATTAACACATGATATACATCTATTTATAGGATGAAGGCTACAAAGAACTTATCAGAAGAATTTAATTATAAAGTTTTTAGAATAAGATCTTTAATGAAAATATTTATATATGGAGTATTCTTTGCAGCATTGATCAAAATAGTTTCGTTTATAATATATTTATTACTATTTGCTATAATAAGCGATGATAACGTAGGCAGCGATATGAAAATTGTTGGTATATTGGAATTAATATTTCTTGTATTAGAATGTGTATTTGGCGCGATTGTATCGTTGGCATTTGGTATATTTGGATTCTGCATGTCAAGTGCTATAAATTATAATGGTAATTCTTCATTACAACGTCGTATTAGGAATAGTAGAAAAAGAATGAATTTTCAAGCTTATTTATTTAAAGAAAAAATAAAGGTAAATAAATCGCTATCAACTCTTGGGAAATAATATTAATAATTTATTAATTATTTATAATTTTATTCTTTTTTTTTTCAGATAATACTATCAACAATAATTATATTGCTATCAATATTATTGTTAATATTGCAATCAATAACTTTAAATAGATTTTCATCAGTTCCAACAATAACAAATTTCTGGATTAATTTCATAACAAAAAATACTACCTATATTATAACAAGTATAGCATTATTGATATCTCTGAATAATGGTCTGGTAGTAAGATATTCTCATATGATTTATTATGGCAGTAGTGATGATGATGATTTTACAATTGGTAATAGTAATAATAGTAATAATAGTAATAATATCCAAAATATTATCAGGGATGATGATGATGTTAATAATAATAATAATATTAATAGTAATATTAGTATTAATAGTAGTAACAATAACGTTATTGACAATAACGTCATTGTCAATATTAATGATGATACTGATGATTCAGGTGAATTAAGCGTCATTAGCGATGGTTTTGCTGTTGGCGGAGGTGATTCTAGTAGTGGTGGCGGCGATGATGGTGTCAATGGTGGTGTCAATAGTGGTGGTGATAACAGCAACATCTTTAACACGTTTAATAATGACGATGACAACGATGATGGTAAGAGAATAGGAAAAAGTAAAAGAACAACATCCGGAATTACGTTTGGAGCATCAATAATTTGATAAGAGAATATAATGTGGTCAATGTGGATAATGCGGATAATGCGGATGATTTGCGTTGGCGGAAAAGACAAGACTTTAATGAAAAAAATTATTTATTTATTTATT